ACTGTCAGGGACCTCCTACCACAGGGAGAGTCACTGACCACTATATGTCACCACCTACTTATTCGTAATAATTTAGATTTAATTCTTGTCCACTACCCACACTTTGGTGGTGCTAACTTCCATTGGCCTTAAATCATATCAGTATTGTCTCCATATCACAAGTCATAGCGTGTCCTGCGAGACACGAGTACCAATGTATTAGTGTCTGACCACATGGTCTTGTGACTAAGCTTGTCACCCCCTGGGGTGTAATAAATTAATTAATAATAAAAAATAAGCCCAACATGACTAAACAGACACTCACAAGCAACAGATGTAGGTAGTGGGGTGTTATGCTTGAGAGACAGTCACATAATGTCAGGAAACACCTCAGTAGCGTCATTGCTTCCCCTGGTCATGCCAAGTAGCTATCAAGTTCCTTCAGTTGAGGATGATTGTTGCCTCCATAGTGACTAAGGCTCACCATGAACTGGCCCTCTAACTGGGGGTGTGGCTGTGGTGACGTCACTCTTTGATTCTAATAGATGAGTGGCCGAATTTTTCGCACCACGTAACATCTGGTGGGTGCTTGGGAGCAGTGGTACTCGGTTATTTAAGCATAATTTTAAATACACTCAGTCTCACACATATGTCTACTTACAGGCTTTATATCTTTGATGGAATTATATAAAGTATTTTAGAATCACATCCTCTTTGAAAGTCTTTTTAGGTACAGGTATATGTAAAGAGCAACCGACATCTAACGGAAAGGTGGAGGAGGGGGGGGGGGGATAAGAGGGTAGGCTAGGTGAGGTGGGTGGTCAGGGTGCTAATGGACACAAGAAGATCAAAGGTTGTTATGGCCACTGCCACCTCTAGGTAGGTGACCATGTAGTGTGTCCCCCACACTGTACTCTTAATGGTTGCACCCACACCATACAACTCTTTTATTATGGTTAATAATTAATTAATCAATAACAAATATATTATTAGTTTGCCACAGACATTAAAACTATGTTTGTTTGTTTGTTTGGGTCAAGTAACGAGTAACGATTTTTTTTTCAATTGTATTTGAGTAAAAGTACAATTTTAGAAAATCATACTTAAGTAATAGTACTAAAAATTTTTAGTACTTTTTAAAAAGTAGATAACCAAAAATGTTACTCGAGTACAATATTCAAGTACATTTATTTTGTTACTTTACAACTCTGTCTGTCTGTCTGTCTGTCTGTGTTCCCAAAATAACTAGAGAATGGGTTAGCTTGATCACCACATGCCTAGGTCCACAGGATAAACTTTTGGTGGTAATGAGACCATAAGTAACCAATTGTTGTCATTATAACAGTCTGTAAAATGTGTGTGACACACGCAAGCACACACACAGAGGATGTGTCTCCTGGCGCTCAGCAGCAGCCGCCAAGGTCATCACGTCGACCTACAGCTAATTTAAGGTAGTTCAGTACTTTTACGGGAAGACAGTGCGTATTTTCAAGGTGTCAGTGCTGTAAGTGCCAGACTTGTGAATATGTGCGTCTCAGTGTCATGATACCGTCGCACTGACCTGTTCCGGCTGAAGTCTGGTGCTGGCTAACCTCCACCCCACACCATCACTCTACTAAAGGCGCCAAGTATCTTCCACAACCGCGGCTGCAGAAGGGGTCGCCGCATTCCCAGACAAATCCCTATCATCACACCGAGCAAGCATAGGAAAGTCAAGCCAGTACTTGAAAGACAGTGTACTCGCTATGAAGTGCCGCGACTATGGTACAGCCTACCATCCCTACTGCTGTCCAATGTTACATCTTTATGCAACAAGGTGGAGGAGGTCAGTGTCACAGTGAAGTCAGTTGGTGCAGGTATTGTGGCCATTACCGAGGCGTGGCAAATTGTTCCTGAGATCTGTGCCATAGAAAACTATGAGTTATTTCACCACCTTAGAAAGGGCAGGAGAGGTGGGGGTGTAGTGCTGTACTGTTGCAGTGACCTCAAACCATCACCCCTAGGTGTTAATGTACCTGATGATGTAGAAGCCTTGTGGGTTCAGGTCACTCCCACCTCCCACCCCGCCAGCTTGCCTCCCTCATTGTTTGTGTTTGCTATCATCCCCCCCCGCGCACGAACCGCCAATGTACTGATTACTCATATTATAGACACTGCTGACTCCCTGAGATCCAGATTTCCATGTGCTAAACTAGTGATATGCAGTGACTTCAATGAGTTAGACATCAGTGACATCACCCAACACCTCCACCTTACACAAATAGTAGACTTTCCCACACATGGCAATGCCACCCTTGACCTCAATATGACTGATCTCGGTAACCACTACCTTCCCCCCCAGCCGCTGCCTCCCATGGGACGCAGCCCACACCTGTCCCTACTGTGGTCACCTACCCCCACCGCCAGTTGCCACCAGAACTTACCGACCCACCCCCGACTCTGCTATGCGGCGTTTCGGACAAGGGATAACCCGGTATCCCTGGACTGAAGTGATAACGGTAGACGATGTGCAGAACAAGTGGGATAATTACCTGGACACTATCACCAAAGCCTACCACCACTTCTTTCCAGCCAAGACACTGAGGATCCACTCCGCATAAAAAGACTAATTGAGCAGCGCAACAAGGCATACTACACCAACAACCGCCTGTACAAAAGTCTACGTAACCAAGTCATCAGGGAAATCAAGTCTGCCAAGAAGACTTACTATCCCAGTAAAGTGCACGGCCTCAAGGAAGTCGGCATCGGTCAGTGGTACTCCAAGGTAAAAGATCTCTGTGGTCTCAACCGTCAGTCTCCCACACTTCCTTTCATCTCACATTTACCTAGTGAGGAGGCAGCTGAGATAATTAATAACCACTTTGCTACCATATGTCATACCTTACCCAGTCTTGACCTCACTCTCCTCCCGGCTTACTTACCTTCCCCCTCCCAGTGTCCGACCATTTGAAATCGCCAACAAACTCCAGAAATTTAAATCCAAACGCTCCACGACCCCAATTGACCTCCCAATCAAAATATACAAGGAGTTTGCAGTCGAACTTGCCACTCGCCTCTGTTCTATTATTAATGCATCCCTCAGACAAAGCAAATGCCCTAATGAATGGAAAACCGCATTTGTCACCTCCATCCCCAAGGTCACCACCCCACAGTCCCCTAACGACCTCAGGCCAGTTGCCATTACCCCCATACCCAGCCTACTTTGTGAGGACTTTGTTTTTGAGTGGGCATTTGCCAGTATCTATCAGTCAATTGATCCACAGCAATTTGGCAATATGAGGACCTGCTCTACATCACACTGCTTGGTGAGCTTTCTGGATTTTCTGCACAAAAACTTGCAGAAACGTAAGACATCACTGGCTGTTGCCCTTGTGGACTTCAGGAAGGCCTTTGACCTTGTTGATCACTGCACTGTTATCAACAAGGCTATTGCACTAGGGCTGCCGAACAACCTGGTCTCATTGCTCACTGATTTCTTGAGTGGACGTCGCCAGGCAGTGAGGTATCAGGGCTTGGTCTCTACATTCCAACACCTCACTTGCGGTGTTCCCCAGGGGACCAAGATGGGACCACTGTGCTTCCTCATCCTGATCAACGACACTCTATCGGACACTCCTCACAGGTGGACGTACGTGGATGACTGCACTGTAGGGGTTTCAGTGGACAACACCGCACCAGACTACTCATTGCTACAAGGCACCCTGGACAGGCTACAGGCATGGACTATGGAGAACAAGGTCACCATCAACCACACCAAAACCGTAGTCAAACACATCGATACCACCACCACTCTAGTGCAAGCCCCAGCAGTCACAGTGGGTGCCCATCCTCTCCAGCTGGTGCAGTCTGCCAACTCCTGGGTGTAACTATAGACAACAAACTGGACTGAAAGGCCCATGTAAATAACACAGTCAAGGCAGCCTCGTACCGTCTCTACATGCTACAGCGACTTAGGTCACTTGGGACACCCACGCCAGAGCTGAGGACCATCTACAACGCCTTTATTCTCCCCAAACTTACATATGCGTCACCAGCCTGGTCGTCTTCTCTCAACTCCACCCAACAACGTCAGCTAGAGAAGGTACAGAAAAGGGCCTGCAGAATCATGCTCGGCGCAGAATACTCTGGCTACACCAACGCTCTCTCCACCCTGGAAATTCCATCCCTCAGTGACCTCCACCACCAAGCACTGAAAAGGTTTGGCAGTGGACTACTGCACCACCCTCGTCATCGCCACCTCCTGCCACCTGCAGCCCCCCACCCAACTCGCGCAGTCCGCCACTACAACAAAATACAGCCCATAAGAGCCCGCACCGATAGATATAAGAACAGCACCATCCCATCTATTGTTAAAATAATAAACAACTCCTGATTTATGTACTGTACAGCCCTGTAAATGTATTCAATGCATATTATATCATTATGTCTAAATCAAATGTAAGTCTGTATATTTTCAGCCACCGACTGCAACTCTATTAATAAACCGTTTATTATTATTATTACACACACACAATTTACTCTGTCTTGGTAAAGGTTCACAGGTAGGGGTTTATATCTTCACTAATGATGATTAACTTTCAGAATGTTTTCCACTCTATTAACAGTCTCTCATGTTCTTTAAGTACTTTTAATTTTACTATATACAGATTTTGAACAGCAATAGCAAGGTTAACTACAGTACTGTATTTGACAAGGGAGCAACAACCACCAGCGCTCTGACAATATTATACATTATGCTATATAGACCTGTACTTCTCCTGGTCTCAGAGCAGCGGTACAGTATATGCATGAAGGCGTCTCTCCCTACCTCTTTGATCAGCTACTGCTTCCATCTACTCCAGGTCTCCTACCATTCTTAACCTTGTCTCTTCCTCACACCATCTACTCATAACAAGTGAGGAGTCACAACAGAATAACTCTCACCTCTTTCTCATCTGGTGTGTCTACCAGTAGTTCAGAGCAAGACAGGTGTGTGTGTGAGGATTAACACAATAGAGCATCACAAAACAGATAGTATGTACCTAGTAACTGAAGAATCTGTGGAATAGTTGTGAGTTGTGCTGGAGTCTGTGACTGGCTGTTCTCTATGTCCGGGTCAGCGCCGTTTGCCAGGAGTAGACGAACTGTTTCAATATTACCTCTCTTAGTCGCCCAGTGTAAACCCGTCCTGGAGGAAACAGAAAGGTATTACAGTACAGTACTGTAGTTAAAAGTGAATCTCCCCATCAATGTTCTCACACTGCCGGTGAGAGATGTCCCTCTTAAACAAAGAAAATTCACTCAAAGAGACAATCAACTCAACCATACAGCAGGGTTCTAGTGACAACCTCCGGTAACCAATGAAAATCCTAACTAAGAAAAAACCGTTATTGCTCCCAATTAACACTGGAACTTGCCTTAATTAGACTATGAACCAATCTACAGTATTAGTCCTTCTATTAACTACAGTACTCCTGAAATACGCCAACAATATGTCAAGGGTTCAAGTCTTGGCACTGACACACGTGAGAAGGGCGTGACCCTCATTACCAAACATGACAGGTTTCCCTGACTCCAGTTTCCTCCTGTACAGTATTAACACTGGATAGACCAACTGTCTGAATGGCTAGTAAGTTGGTAATTGGTGGAAAAACAAAACAAAACACCAAATCTATCATCCGGACAAGCCAGAAAATTCCTCCCTTCTGAAGAATTTTCTGAATCATCGAAGATCTTCCAAAACTTTCTTAGTGTTACTTTCACACTGAGAACAAGAACTAATTTGCAATTTTTCCTTCCTAACCTGAAGGAAAGGAACTTCTCTACAGTGTGAATATAAACAAACCAATAATCATCCCTTAAATTTATAGAGGTCCAGGTGGCCAGTAGTTGAATGCTGTATCATAAAAGGAAAGCCTCCAAAAATGACGGGTCTACTAACAATGATTCATATTTAAAATCCTGGTTAATTTAGGACCCAATTCAATTTACACCGCTATTTTATTCGTATTTGCCCCCCAAAAAATAAAATACTAAATTAAAAAATAAAATAAAATTACATTTTCAAATAAATAATAACTAAATCCCAATATGTATTATACAAATACAGTTTAAAAAAAAAACAAGCCTTGCACACGGAGACTGCCGGGCTTGTGAGTGGTGACGCCAGCATCACTAGTATAAACAGTCGCAGCTGGCAGCCTTTTGTTTTCACGCATCTAAACAGGAAAAGGAGAAAAACATTCTCAGGTTTCTTACGTCATTTTTTGTGTCCCTATTCAACATGAGGAAGAGAGCAAGTGATGGTAGTGCTGGTTCAAAGGCTAAAGGAAAGTGTATAAGCTTAGCCCAGAAACTAGACGTGTTAAAAAGGTGAGAGGTCTGGGGATATTATATGGAGCAAGCAATGAACATATTTTATGAAGTGGATCCAGTAACACAACGAAGCATTAAAATTAACAGGGATGTGAAACATGCAAATGACCTCTACATAAAGATGTATAATGAGAAAAGAAAGCAGCTGTGCAAGGTTCTTTAGACAGTTTTATTATTCAAAGGCCTAAACCATCAACTTCAGCTACATCATCAAATTCAGCATTAGCAGCAGCTTCAACAACAACTACAGGTTCAGTAACAGTTTCAGCAACACCCTAAGGTTCAGCAACAGCTATGGCATCTTTATGGAAAGTTACCGCTACAGCTTCAGCCAGAGTTGAACCTGATGACTTCATCATCTGAGTAAAACTCGCACATTGGCCGTCCTTATGTTTTAGACTTTACCACCATTGACGAATAGAATATTTATTTTACATTCGTAAATATTATTTAAAATATATACAGGTATAAACAGTAATAAGTATTGCTTTCATATTCTTATCTAGAGAAATGACAAAATGTTTTCACTTGTACGCACTTACATACGTTGGTGTTCCCCATCGGTCTCGCTTTTTCTTTACCATTAGTGGTTAGCTCCTGTATTGTTCCATTTATTAACATTACTTCAAACTAACATACTCCTTTTTCCCATTAATTTCACTACAGCTACAACCAGGGTCTTATTTTCGTCAGTTTCTTATATAAAACCATTGTCACGGGTTTAAACACTTAGGAAACAATGCCGTCTCGTCTCCTCTTGTGTGTTTTAACATTCTACGTATTATTAATGAATTGTATTGTTCATTTTACATACATGAACATTAATTCAATCAAATACATATTCAGTAATAAACAATAATGAATCTTTTGTACATATTCTTAATAAGATAAATGACTGTTTCCTTGAGTGCACACGTATACATTGGCGTTCCACTATCAGTCTCACCTTTTCTTTAATATCAGTGTTTACTTCTACTGTACATTAATTAAAACATACATATTTTGTACATTAATTTTACTACAACAACAACCAGGGTCTTATTTTCATCAGTTTCAGGTGGATTACTGACATTATGGCTGTAAACACTGACAATAACATCTCATCTCTTGTGTGACTATATTATTGATTTATATTCTATAATGTTCATTCATAAACATTATTTTTTTCTTACGGGGGACAGCCCACCCAGCCACAGGTCATTGACCCACAATGGGGGGGGGGGGATAAGAGTAAAAAGAAATTAAAAATAGAAGAGAAAAAGACTAGTATATTAATCTACACCACTCAAAAGATATGAAAAGGTCACAATTGGGAACACATCTCATTATTATTGCTTTATTTTAATGGTAATTAATGATTCACGATGCGACGGTTCACCTCACACCGCAGTATTGAAGGACACATTACCGTCGTTATTGAAGGACACATTACCGTCGTTATTTGAGGCTTTACTGTATTGTGATCTTAACATTTAGGATGAACTGATTTAGTCACTTGAGATGAGAAACAACTTGACAACCTCTTGAAGTTTGAGGGACATAAAACACCCTGGTCATAGAGTAGCCTGGTCCCTCACTCACACCTTCAGCTAACACAAGCGAGTTCTCCAGATACTGTACTCCCAACAACACATATAACTGATAAAACTCTGTATAAATATGGGAGGGCAAGGGAAACTGCCACTGGCCTTCATGGCCAGTCTGACAGATCAGCTGGACACCTGAGTCATGCTGCCAGTGCGCTAGAGCTCGTATTAGAAGACAGTGGTCCCTTGGTTAACGAACGCCTCGGTTAACGAATTACCTTCCATAAGAATCTTCAATTCGGTTAACGAAAAAAATTAGATTAACGAAATCCTTACGAAAATCACATTTTGTTTTGAACATCAGCTGATAAGCTGAGGAGGTACTCAGCCAATTCAGTGATCTCTTCTATGTTTACATTCAAATTAATCACTATCTTATTAGAATTCCAGCAATGCAAATTAAATTCACCCCGGTCACTTCTATTAAATTTTATAAGCAAAAAACAAAAACTCAATCTAAAGGACATAAATTAACAATTAAATACTTCACACCACAGGTCACAACTGTCACCCCTCCCTCCCTACCCTCCACCTTCCTGAGAAACGTTTGGGGAAAAGCACTAGGTTTACAGGTTTAAAAATAAATAATACCTCAGACTAAAGTTAGGATAATATAATTTGCATTGCTAGAATCCTTGCAAGACAGCGAATAATTTGAATATAAACGTCATATATTTTGCACAAGAGATAAAATTAATCACCTGTATCACATTACAGTAGTGATTTAAGAGTTCTAGTGTATATGTACGATATATATAGTGATTTAAGGGCGATTTAGGGGAATTTTAGGAGTGTTTCTGACTTATGTGTTCTTTGGCTTTACTTTGTATATACTTTTCTGTGAGCTGGAACCAATTACCCAATATCCCATTGAAACAATGGTTTCGGTTAACGAACGACCCTCTGGAACAAATTGTGTTCGTTGACCGAGGGACCACTGTACTATGACATAAATCAACTATATATCGTCCATCATTGGCCAAGATTTGTGTTTATTTGCACCCAATTTTCTTGATACTTAATGACAGAGGATGGAAATGTTAAACCTCTACATCACTTCTTAATACTTTGTGGTATATATTATTACTTAAATCTTGTCACAATGCAGTATTTAAGATGGAGAGATGCCAAGTTAGTGGATCAAATATTTAATAATCTGCTCGTGATGTGAGAAATGTTTTTGTTGGTTGAGTGCCACAGAGCTGACATCTGTTGATAGTCGAGATGAGGGAAATTCCCGCCCAGTCCAGTGGCTGTTCCCCTGAGTGTTTACCTCCCCTCCCAGACTGCACATATTTATATCAAGTTTTATCAGTTCTATAAATAATTTGAGATATATCCAGCCACACAAACTGTAGTACATTACCTATTGTTTCTGTTTACTTTATGTTCGGTACAAAAGATATATAATTAAAAGACTTCATTCAAAAGTGAATTTCATCTTTGACTTTGACCTTTTGTGATAAATATTTAAAATTTTTCTAACTTCCTCTCTGAAGTGCTAATGCCTTGAAATCAATTACAATTTGATAGTTCAGTTATTTAACATTATTTTAGATAATAACAGATCTGCTTACCAACTGTGAACACATTTAGTTTAAATAAATAGACATCAACACGAACATTTTATATGAACCAGTCAGCTATCAGTACAGAAGAGGGGCGTGGCTTATGGGCCAGGTTAGCTTGGAGATACTATACATGGTAAGAATCTCATTAAAATTACCAATAAATATAATAAAATAAAATATTAAAACAAAAATTAATAAAACATGTAAACTAACAGAAATATTGGGTTAAATATTTTTTGATCACCTGAAGATTAACTACCCTAATAATTTAACCTGACTATGCGTAATCTCCCCAGGTAGTGTTGGGGTGGTTAATCTTTGGGTGAAATAAACTGGGGTGGTTAATCTTTGGGTGAAATAAGCTGGGGTGGTTAATCTTTGGGTGAAATAAGCTGGGGTGGTTAATCTTTGGGTGAAATAAGCTGGGGTGGTTAATCTTGGGGTGGTTAATCTAGAAATAAGGTTAAAATTTGGGTGAAATGCTTGGGTGTTAATTGGGTGAAATAATGAAATAATCTTTGGGTGAAATAAGCTGGGGTGGTTAATCTTTGGGAAATAAGGTGGTTAATCTTTGGGTGAAATAAGCTGTGGTTAATTCATGAAATAAGCTGGGTGGTTAATCTTTGGGTGAAATAAGCTGGTTAATCTTTGGGAAATATTGTTAATCAAGAAATAAGCTGGTGTAATTCAAGAAATAATCTGGGTGGTTAATTTTGGGTGAAATAAACTGGGGTGGTTAATCTGCGAAATAAGCTGGGGTGGTTAATCTTGGGTGAAATAAGCTGGGGTGGTTAATCTTTTTGGGTGAAATAAGACTGGTGGTGGGTGAAATAAGCTGGGTGGTTAATCTTTGGGTGAAATAAGCTGGGGTGGTTAATCTTTGGGTGAAATAAGCAAAGCTGGGTGGTTAATCTTTGGGTGAAATAAACTGGGTGGTGAAATAAGCTGTGGTTAATCTTTGGGTGAAATAAGCTGGGGTGCTAATCTTTGGGTGAAATAAACTGGGTGGTGAAATAAGACTGGGGTGGTTAATCTTTGGGTGAAATAAACTGGGGTGGTGAAATAAGCTGGGGTGGTTAATCTTTGGGTGAAATAAGACTGGGGTGGTTAATCTTTGGGTGAAATAAGACTGGGGTGGTGAAATAAGCTGGGGTGGTTAATCTTTGGGTGAAATAAGACTGGGGTGGTTAATCTTTGGGTGAAATAAGACTGGGGTGGTGAAATAAGACTGGGGTGGTTAATGTTTGGGAGGTCCACAGTTTGAGCACAACCTCCCCACAACACACCCAACCACTGTCCTTCTCTCCTTGTTGGGATGAAAGACAAACTTTTTAACTATCATTAACAAAGTGGTTCTCTAAGTTCTACATTTTATTCATAAGTCTTTAGGCAGGTGAATCATTATACTACTATATAAAATACACAGGCCTTAGTGTCTTGTGAATATGAGGACAGACAATGGACCAGTCATGAATGTGATGACTTCTACGACCATAAGAATATAACACTTGTACTATTATATACAGCACAACTCCTTCTCATATAACTTTATGTTTCAAAATCATTTACTAAACTTTCAACTGTTTTTTTTTCCTTTTTTAAGGGAATTAGCCCACCCGGGCACATATCGAACGACCCACAATGGGGCCTGGGGGGCGAAAAAATAAGAACAGAAAAAAATTAAAAATAGAGAAGAAAAAGGTTAAACAGGTTGTACCTCTCTAGTCCGGCATTCTATGGTCCGGAAACATTTTAGTTTGTCCAATGGGTAGATAACCAGCTTTTTTCTTTTTTACTTGTCTGAATACAGGAGTATTACATTTTCGCCCCTCAGGCCCCAATGTGGGTCAGTGACCTGTGCCCGGGTGGGCTAATCCCCGTAAAAAACAACAACAAAGCCGCGGGAAATTAAGGTTTGTTTACATCCGGCAGTTCGGCTGCTCTCTCTCTCTCTGCTTGTCTATACAGAGTACAACATTTAACCCTTCAATACATATGAGCAGTAAATAAGTGTTGCTTTCATATTCTTATGTAGAGTAATGACGATATGTTTTTGACATGTGCGCACTTACATACGCAATCTCCCTTTTTTTTCTTTAACATTAATGGTTAGCTACTTATATTGTTCCATTTATTAACATTAAATAACATTACTTCAAAAAACCATATTAATTTTTACATTAATTTTACTACAGCTACAACCAGGGTCTTATTTTCTTGTTTTATATGTAGAACCAGTCAGTCACTGGTTTTGTAATCAACGAAAACAATGCTGTCTCATTTCCTCGCGGGTTTTAATATTCTACGTATTATTAATGAATTGTATTGCTCATTTTGCACACATAAACATTAATTCAATAAAAAAGACATTCAGTAATAAACAATAATGAATCTTTTGTACATAACAGAAATGACGCTGTTTACACGATTATGCACGTCGTCTGAACGTTGGCGGGCCGTTCAAACCCGTCGAAATTGGAGTTTCCGCAGTCGAAATTTTAAATTATGTAGTGTTTTTTTTTTTGTGTCCAAATAAAAAATGTTGAATTAAAAACTCGCGAAATTTGAAAAGCTACTGTATGACATTTATCCCTTCAATATGTCTTCAAAGAGACCACGAAGCAGTGAAAGTGGTGCTAGTGCTTCCAAGTGTAAGCGCAAGTCACTATCTGTCCAGGAAAAGGGTGAATTTCCATGGTCCGGCACCGGTCAGGTCCCGAGGTTGCCAGACTAAAGAGGTACTGTACAACCTGTACTGTGTTTATCTACACCACGAAGATGCAGGAAAACCAGCTTTTTAAAGTGAGACATTGTATGAGCATGGAAACACAGAAGAAGGCAGAGCATTCCACAGTTTGGCTGTGTGAGGAAAGAAGGATGTACTATAACGGGTTATTCGAGTGTGACCGACAACAGAGAAACGGTGGGCACCGCGGGCAAGACGTGTGTTACGAGCTTAAGGCCTTGCCGGCGGTACACAGGATGCCAAATCCACCGAACATTGCCCGTTAAATTACCTGTAAAAGAGAGAGAGAGTGAAGCAACATTGAGGCGAAGAGAAAGGGAAGAGAGATTATCAACTAAAGGAGGAGAGTTAATAGGACGAAACGCCTTGGATTAACTAACTCTCTTTATCACTAATATTATTCATAGAATTTATTCATCATGAAACACGTAATAAACTTGTCGTATGTGTACAAGTAACGAACATAACCTAAACACAAGAAGAGTAATTTACCAGCCATTGATGTCGTGTTTACTGTTGATGTTTGTGCCTCGGGTGACCAGCGCTATGACGCCTTCATTGTCTCCGTAACAACACGCCTCTCGCAACTTCTCCTCGTTCTGTTTCTGCAGCTCCATCCTGACTCAATCTAAAACACCAAGATGGTGATAATTATTCTCCATCTCATTAGTACAGTACGACGGCAGGAGCAGCACTGTACAGTAGTCTGTTCATTATGGAAATGTCATGCTCGGCCTCCACTGTCCACCAATATGGCGTAGGGTTTAGTGATTGGATATGGATAATGTGGCAGTAAATTTTAGTCAATGTACAGAACTTCAATAATTATTTGTTTTCTAACTGGCATATCACAAGCCAAGAGTAGAGAGAGAGGGTAGTGCTATGTGATAATTCCCATAATGAAAAGATTATAATAGTGGTTTAAACTTTCAGGGATAATTTCCTACAAACACCAACAGCACCTTCACCTTCTCCCTGCCAGAGAGAGTGTGGGGCTAAGCACAATGTACCGTACACATACAGTACAGTAACAGAACTCTTGTCACAGCTATTGTTCACTGTCTACGTTAAGTCCACTACTGCTGGCTTGGTCACACACAACCCTGACACTTCTCTATATGTCGAGGCATGAGAAATTAATTTTACTCAGGGAGAAATCTTACTAATATTTGAGGAGTATTATATCTCATACAACTATTAATAAATATCAGTGATCTATATAACTTTATATTATACAGCTATTGTAACAATGATAGGTAAACATGGGCCTGACATTACAGCCTCAATATTCAGGTATGTGTATATATATATATATTTATATATATATATATATATATATATATATATATATATATATATATATATATATATATATATATATATATATATATATATATATATATATATTGGTAGTAATATAGTGACTTTATTCTCCATGGTATAGATATGTAGATGATGCTTTTTCTTTGGCCTAAAAAGTGACCTATTGGAATTTTAGACAAGTTTAATAATATTGTCCCTAGTATCACATTCAAAATTGAAAGAGAAATAATGAACCTTCCATTTCTTGGATATGCTTATCATGAGAAATGGCAAACTATAAATTTAAGGTATAAAGCTCACACAGGTAGACAGTTCTATCATTTTTTATCGAATCACCTTGGAGTCTACCAAATGTCAGTTTTTTCTTTATATGTTTTTAAGATGTCTCGCGATTTTGACTCTGAATTTATTGATCGATGAATTGAAACACATTCGCTCTATTGCACATAAACTTGGGTACTCTCTCTGTGTTTGTTGATCGTTGTTTTAAAAGGGCTAAAAATCCTTTCATTCCTCCTTCAAACCAGACAAATTTCCTACACTTAAGAATATTTTGACTCTGCCCTATCAGAATGAATTTGTCCCGTTAGTTCGTCCCTCGCTTTAAATATTAATGTTGTTTTCTAAGTATGACTCCACCATTACCAATATGTTATAATGAATAGCCCATGTTTGAATGTAAATGGAAGTGTTTATTGTATTCCATGTAGCAAAATGTAATTGTAATTATTGTAGGTCAGACAGAAAACACTGCAGCTCAGAATCAAACAACATAAGTATAATATCAGAACTGCATCTGAAAGCAGTGCCTTGTTTGTTCATGTTAGAATAATAATCACCCCATTGCTTGGGAAAAAGCTTAGAAGTATTCAAATCATCTTATCACAGAAAGACTTTGTTGAAGCTAGTTTGATTAAGGAATTAAAAATCAATAAACCTTAGTGATGGTCAGTTCAAAACTGATAATATGTTACATAAATTTATTTGTCAGTGCCAAGGTTAAAAATGCTTGAAAACCTTTGATCTAGATGTATGATAGATATGTTTTTTCTGACCTGATTTGTCTAGTCACGCCACCTCCTTCTCTTAAGCTCCCACGTGGTGTTGGTGTGATTAGTGGATGTCATCATTTTGACCTGACCTCTGTTTTAGGTCACCTGTATATTTAGTTTCTGTCCATGTAATCCAGTTGCCTCTGAAGATGTCTTGAATAAAGACTAGCTAAGGTAATCCGCTGTTTCCATCTTCCCGGATTTTATCAAGATATATATATATATATATATATATATATATATATATATATATATTATATATATATATTAATAGTATTACCTCATTTAACGCGGTTTCACTTAACGCTAGTTATCAAATACGCTGCCTCGCCAGAGCTGAACTTTCACTTAACACGGATTTTTCCACATATACGCCGTGTGTCCGCCAGATGCTATTTTAGATTGCCCACCCGCCACCCTGCCTGACTGCCCTTTTAGCTCATAAAATTATACAAAATTACTGCCAGAATATAATTTTACATTGCTGGAATTTTATATTTCAGGATTATTTTGAATATAAACATCATATATTTTGCATTAGACATACAAATTTTAGATAACTTTTTCTGTAACTATGTTATCTTTGTAAAATATATGACATTTATATTCAAAATATTCCTGGTCTAAGGGAATCCAGCAATGTCAATTATATTATCCTAACTTGTTTGAGTGTATTATTTATTACAAAAGTTAAGTATTCTGGTTTTCCCACATCTCCTTGGGACGTTGGTGGAGGGTGGGGGAGGAGGGACCAATTGACCATCTGTTACCCTGGAAGAATATTTTTTTTTTTTATTAACTGAAGATATTTGTTTTAGCTCTCATAAAATTATACAAATTACCTGGCTAGAATATAATTTACATCTGGAATTCTTATAATTAGGATTATTTTGAATATAAACATCATATATTTTGTCATGACACAAATTTTAGATAAAAATTTTTTCTGAGTAACTATGTTATCTTTGCAAAATATATGACATTTATATTCAAAATATTCCTGGTCTTACAAGGAATCCAGCAATGTCAATTGTATTATCCTAACTTTAGTTTGAGGTATTATTTATTAAAATTTAGTGGTTTTCCCCAAAAATTTCTCAGAGAGGGAAGAGCCGCAGCTTAGTGTGAGAGGGGAGGGAGTTGAGTCCATTATTTGAATGGACATTAACTTCATGTATCGTTTTCTATTTCTCTTCAGAGCACTTGTAGGTATGTATCATCATAAATTAAGATGTTATTTTTATTACAACATAGAGGTGCCTCAAAAAGTGGAGTTTGGTTAAATGTTTCTATTGAATTAATCCCATATGTTCTCTTGTTCACTTAATGATTTCACTTAACACGACCCTCTGGGTTCCCATACTGCTATGGGGTACAATTATATATATATATATATATATATATATATATATATATATATATATATATATATATATATATATATATATATATATATATATATATATATATATATATATATATATATATATATATATTATACTGTATATACAGTGAACCTCACTTTACGCGAATACCAACCCAATGTGCCCGTAAAGGAAACAACATAAACTATATGGGATTAATTGAAATAGACTAGCCACCCCAACTCCATTTTTCACAATACCTACATTGTAGTAAAATAACTTTAATTTATGATGGTATGCACACACAATTAATAATTAAGAGAAATATCAATAATATTAGTTTTTAACACTTCACATTAGTAGAAAAGATGGCTAAGGTCAATGGGATGGTGGTCTTAGGCAGAGGCAGATATTATTGGCCTCACCTGTATCATTTCAATTGTATCACTATCCACCACAGATGCTTGCAGGGCCTCTTTGTCAAACCCCTCAAGTCCATATAAGTCCATATCCTCACTATAATTATCACTATCACTGACTTGGGCCGCTGTGTGGGTGGCGGAGAACTCGTAATGTTTGATGACTATAACCTTTGTAAAGCGCTGCTGGGCCACACCATGGCGGATGGCGGAGAGGGCTGGAGAGATGCGGAGGTTTGGATCCAAAATGGCCTGCCAGCCAGCTTCAAGGAAGGGCATAATGAACGTAGTGGAGCATGTCACAGGGTACCACGTTAACGTGGAAACGCGGAATGTGAGCATTACGGTTTCGACAGGGTACCGCGTTAACGTGGAAACGCGGAATGTGGGACCGCGTAAAGCGAGGGTTGACTTCCACTTTCCGCGGTGCATCTACCCATATACGCGGAGAGTGTCTGGCTCGACGCTATTTTTAGATTCGACCCTCCCGCCTTCTCCCGCCTGGTCAAGCCGCGCGGTAAGGTTGCGCAGTGCATGTCTCTGTTGTGTTATCAGTGACGTCATATGACGTATCGGACTGTGATTGGGCCATGCATCCTTTCACCCTCCGCTGCTAGCTGTGATTGGTTTAAAGAAATATGACGTGTCCACCCGCGGGAGGGAGGGAGGAAAGATGACGCTTGACCTAGCAGCGGCAGTTTCATCCCTCCAGGCCACACCGTGTATACGTGAATCCATTGTTCTGTAAAATGGCTTCCGCCGGACCACCGCCCTCAGAGAGAAACCTTTCCTTACCTGGACCCAGCCGCCCAAAGCCAAAGAAGATACGACGTTCCCTAAGCTACGAAGTGAAATACAAGATCATTCAAGATTGGGAGAAAGGAACACGTCAAGCTGATCTCGAGTGCCAGCATGGAGTCAACGAATCTATGATTCGTACTATTAAGAAGGATGCAGCCAAGATCAAAGAACACATGAGAATCACAAAGTCTGCAGGTGCTTCAATGATCAAATATTGCCAGAACAAGGTGATGCTAAAGGTTGAAAATTTGCTGGTGAGTTACTTGATTCGTCAGGGGCAACGCAACATGGCGGTGGACACGCGATCTGTTCAAGAGTACGCCCGTGAACTGTATGCAGCAGTGTCACGTAAGATGGGAATTGCAGAGCCCAAACCCTTCAATGATTCCTCTGGTTGGCTGCATAGGTTTAAGAAGAGGAACAAGATCACCAACATTAGCATTGGTGGTGAAGAAGCGAGTGCTGACCGTGCGGCGGCTAGAGATTTTCCTCCGTTCTTACGTGAGGTTATGGAGGAAGGGCAGTACACCGACGACCAGGTGTTCAACATGGACGAATCCGGTCTCTTTTGGAAAAAGCTACCTTCCAAGGCCTTCGTTGTCTAGTCTGCCAGCAAGGTTCGGGGCCGGAAGTTGCAGGAGCCCATCACCGTCCTCTTTACCACCAATGCCTCTGGTACCTGTAAACCCAAGTTATCGGTGATCCACACAGCCCGCAAGCCGCACGCCTACAAGAACGTGGACATGAGCAAGATTAATGTCCACTGGCTGACCGCACGTAAGGGGTCGATGTTCTCTGCTTTGTCACTCTCCTGGTTTGATGACTGTTTCGTTCCCAACGTGAAGAAATTCTGCGAGCAACAGAATGTTCCATTGAACATTCTGTTGCTCCTTGACAACGCACCAGGACACTCGCCACTACTTATGGATCGTCATTAATCCAGCCCATGGACCAGGAGTTGATCTGCAATGTGAAAGCTGCATACTCTGCAAAAAAATTTAAGCTCCTGAAAGACTGTACCAACACCAAGGATGAGTTGCGTAAGCTAGGTGACACCGACAGCGAGAGTAAAAGCAACGAGGACAAGGAACAAGAGGTGGCGACTCAAGAAGTTCTCGTCAAACAGTTTTGGAAGAAATTTAGCGTCAAACAAGCTGTAGATATCTTGGTGGAGGCATGGGATCAGCTGTCTATAGCTACGATTCGTCACGCATGGAGGGATGTGTTGCATGGTATACCAGGTGAGAGGCGGAGTCAACCTGTGACTGGTGAGGTTCAGACTGTTGCAGTAGCAGTGGACCTTGCCAGAGAAGCTGCGCACAGTATTACAGCTGAAGGCTTCTCCGAGACCACCAACGAAGACATCCTGGAGGTGATCAGAGATCCTGAAATGACTGCCGACGAGATGTTGGAAGATGATCACGTCAGTGAAAAGGAAGATGGTGGTTCAATCTCCGAAGAACACAAGTTAACGCATAGTCATATTAAGGGTGCCATCGAGTGTGCAGAAAAATTGAAGCTCTTCCTTTCCAACGACAATGACGATGACCGCTATGAAGTCTTCCATACCCGGCTGGTGCAGGCTATGGAGCCGTACATCACGGTGTATCAAGACAACATCATCACTAGCCGTCAAAAAAGCATTACCGAGTTCTTCGCCCGCAACCCACCACAGCCAGCCAGTGATAGTGACAGTGAAGGTGACTTTGAGGGATTTGTCAGGGAAGCCCTGACAACTGTAACTGATAGTGATGGTGATGCACCTAGTAATGGTGATTCACCTGAGGGCCAGTAATCTGCCCTCTGCCTCGGAACCAGCCTCCATCCCCGTATGCCGACCCATCTCTTCTACTAACGTAAGTGTTACACCTAACTTTTAGTTTTCCTAACCTAACCTTTATTTTTCCTAACCTAACCTCTTCTATATACTTGTTTGTTCATACCATCATAAAGTTAAGATAAAATTTTTACTACAACATAGTTGTGTGTCGTCAGAAAGTGGAGTTTGGGGGTCGGGCCAGTCTCTATTGGAATTAATCCCATATGTTTTGTTGTTCCATTTACGCGGATTTCACTTAACGCGGTACCCTGTGGGTTCAATTGACTGCGCAAATCGGGGTATAACTGTATATATATTCCACAGGTAGTCCCCGACTTATGACTGACCCAATTTACGTCAATCCGCACTTACGACCTACTCTGACCGTACGACCGTCCGCACATACGACTGCCGCAGTCGTGACCAAATTTTTTTTCAAATGACGCGCGCATTTTCTATACCGAAAAGTTTCCATCCTGAGCGAGAGCGTGGCTGGCTTGGGTCACCGCGTAGGTACACTCACTCAGTACAGCGTTTAGTTGGTGTTTGGCTATCGTATCCTATACTGATCGCGCTGTGTACTTACTTTATTATCGTATTTAATTGACTTTATAATGACTGGAAAGCGTACAAGTGAGAATGCTGGTGGTGCTCCAAAGAAAAGGAGTCAAACAATTACTTTTGAGATGAAAATGAAGATAATAATGCAGTATGAGAATGGTAAAACTGTAGCAACAATCTCACGTGACCTAGGTTTCTCGCACTTGACCATATCCACTATTCTGAAGGACAAGGAACGTATTCATGATGTAGTGAAAGGAACAACACCTATAAAGGGAACTATAATTTCAAAGAGAAGACAAGGTCCTATTCACGATATGGAAAAATTATTGGTGATATGGATAGAAGACCAAACACAGAAGCGTGTACCCTTAAGCCTTCAAACCTTACAGGCTAAAGCAAGAAGCCTGTTCCAAAGCCTGAAGGAGCAGGCAGGAGATGAATGTGAGCAAACCTTTACAGGAAGTCATGGGTGGTTTAATAGATTTAAAAATTGCTACAGTCTACACAATGTTAAGGTGAGTGGAGAGGCAGCTAGTGCCGATGTTGGTGCTGCCGAAGTTTTTAAGGAGGAGTTAGATGAAGTGATTGTGGAAGAGAATTATTTGCCAGGATTCAAGGCATTCAAGGACAGAATTACACTTCTGTTGGGGGGGATGTAGCTGGTGTCAAGCTAAAGCCCTTCATGATCTATCATTCAGAGAACCCAAGGGCCTTAAAACATGTCAGCAAGCACACACTGGCGGTGTTTTATCGCAGTAACAAGAAAGCCTGGATGACCATTGTAGCCGTAATGAAGTCAAATGATGGTCGTACAAGCGTAAATCGGGCTGTGAATCACTTCTCGATTATTATTTGGTGTCATAAAGTCACAAAAAATTGGTAAACTTAATTTAATCTGAGTTGGATTAGGTTAGGTTAGGTTAGATTAGGTACATGCACGCAATCTATTAACTCAGATTAAATTAAGTTTACCAATTTTTTGTGACTTTATGACACCAAATAATAATCGAGAAGTAATTAGCAGTCCGATTTATTCATGTAGGACCATTAAATGACCTCATTACGGCTACACTTGGGTAATTAGTCTGACCACCACTTACTATTACAGCTTACATCATTAAACAAAACTCTTACTATCCTCAATTAAAATGACTTACTGGACCATTGTTTAAACACCAATACTAACTTAGGAGTAATAATTAAACTGAATAAATATTTATCTTTTATCTAGAGCAACACTTCCTGCCTCTCCCTCACACACGCCTCTATCTCCTCACATCATTAGCCATAGTTTAAAAGGTCCTCTCTGTGTGCCAATAACCTGTCTTATAAACCATGGCTCTATTATATATAAAACACAAGTGATATAAGTTATCCTATAGTCCACACACAAGGCTGCTCTATACTGGCATTTAATGACATAATAAACGACACATTACTATAATATATGATAATTATGATGTAATCTGTGTTATAATTGTATATATCACTAATAATAAGATAAACATAATAATTAAGAGGGTTAAATGACAGACTCACCCAGCCTCCCCACCAAGGGCCTCACTAACTGACACTGTTACTGAGATTACTGAACACTTTGGAACACTTCGCCGGAGAGGTTTAATTATATATATTTATTTTAAATATGATCTTCTCATATATGCTTTACTATTTATATATTAATAAAAATAGTATAATATATCTGCTAGTGTATATGTACCATAGCTTTGATTAATATAGTATTTATGAGGAATATTATATACAAAATCTAATAATACATATTAGATTTTATTGAATGTGTATGTAAAACTCTGGAATCATTATTTTTTTTCATTTATTCCTTTATAAATTTCGTAAATCAAGATTCTTTACTAGAATAAAATGAGTTTGTTGATTAAAGTTAATAAACTGTGTTGGTGATGAAGGCAGATGATGTTGGACCCGGACTTCAGGTTCAGAATCTTTAACCCGAACACATAAGTTATCAGGAGACATAAGATTAATAAAACTAATATAAAGTATTGTATTGTCATATATAATGGCTTATTATATAAATATTTGGATGTGTTATTACAATTGGAAATATTAAAAATAGATAATTAAAAAATTCTGAATTAGTTAAGCCAGTCTGAACACAACCTAATGCCAGAGTAAACAAACATCTTCACAAAATTTTAATGATATAAAAAGCAACATAGAAATCTATTATCGTCAATTATATAAATATAAAAAAAATAGTAATTTAATCTCCAAATATCTCATATAATTGATTAATGGCTAAAACATACGCTTTATGACCATGGACTCCTACAAAACCTAAACTTCCTCACACTTTTACGAAATATTAACGTAATTATGACACATTACCATCATTACACCCCATTAGACATTATCTCCGTTGTTAATTCATTTATAGTTCAAGAGAAACAGCCAAGGAAATATGAGAGATAATAAATATGAAAGACCAGATCGTATCCATGGCAACACGTTGTATACAAATACCACAGGTGAGTCGGCCAGGTGGTGGAGACTCCTGGGAACAACATGTCTTACAGGGAGCTGAGAAGTAAGTCCTAGGGAGAGTTAATTATCATGTTCTATAGAGTTAATTATCATGTTCTATAGAGTTAATTATCATGTTCTATAGAGAGTTAATTATCAAGTCCTGTAGAGTTAATTATCAGGTCCTATGGAGAGTTAATTATCAAGTCCTATAGTGTGTTAATTATCATGTTCTATAGAGAGTTAATTATCAAGTTCTATAGAGTTAATTATCAGGTCCTATAAAGAGTTAAGCACTAAAAGTGTTAATAAGCTTTATGAAGGAATTCTTAAAGCTTTCTTTAAGCAAAAACTCCTATACTCGTATAGTAAAAAGTTTTAAAGAAAGAGCTTTATACAGTAAGTCTTATAAAGTGTAACCTAACCTAACCTACCCTAGCCTAACCTAACCTAACCTACAGACTGTGCGGAGATGCTCAGAGCTCTGGGCTTCCGACGACTCATCTCCTTAGAAAACTTCAGAAGACCCAACTTCCCCCTGGTGGCTGAGATACTAGGCTGGTTGGTACACAGGTTCGAACCCAACGCTGACCTGCCAACACACACCGATACTGAACAGGACAGAGTTATTTTTATCAGATCCGTCGCCCAGTTCATGGTAAGGCGGCCATTGTGTACAGTATTTGCGGGTTACCTGAAAGTTAGTCCCTCCAGTTTATTTCACCTGACGATTAAACACCCTAGCGATACCTGGGGGGGTTCAGGTTAGATTGGGTTAGGTTAGGTTGGGTTAGGCTAGGTTATGGTGTTAAATCATTCGGTGAAATATGCTTGGGTGTCTAATCTTCAGGGGACCCGTGTTTGCTGTTTACTTTTCCCTCCCGTCTGTCTGTCCCCCACTCCTTTGCATGATATATTTTCTGTTATAATGAAAGGATCTCAGTCAACCTTAACACACACACACACACACACACTCTCTCTCTCTCTCTCTCTCTCTCTCTCTCTCTCTCTCTTTTGTGGTGGTTTCGGTTTGTCAATAATTTATATATTGTTTAATTTTCTGTCTTTACATTCACGATATGTTTTAATATTTGTTTCTGGTGAAGTTATGTATATGGCCTATTGTTGTGTATGTATAGGGTGTCTCAGAAAAATGTCCCTCACCTCCCTGCTCCCTGGGACACTGTGAGTTGAGGGAGGGGGAGGCAGGTAGGGAGGGGAGGGAGGGAGGCAGGGAGGGAGGCAGGGAGCAAGAAGGTAGCAGGCAGGGAGGGAAGCAGGTAGGGAGGCAGTGAGGTAGGCAGGGAGCAGGCAGGGAGGGAAGCAGGGAGGTAGGCAGGGAGCAAGAAGGTAGCAGGCAGGGAGGGAAGCAGGTAGGGAGGCAGGGAGGTAGGCAGGGAGCAGACAGGGACATTTTTCTGGAACACTCAACATATTAACGTATACAGTATATGGAATACCCTGTCCATGTTAAGCTTTACCTCTGGCTGAGTATTATCCCACACACCACACTACTCACCACCTCCCCCTCCTCCTCATGCTGTGGTGGCGGCTCCTGACGCAGGCAGCGAAGGCCAACGTCCGCCTCAACACCAAGAGACTGTACCAGGCTGACGGGTACGCCGTTCAAGAGATCCTGAAGGGGTTAAGTCTGCTGTACTCCGCTATGCCCAACAATAAAGATGACAGTGGCTTCGACGATGACTCAGAGACGACGCTTAACTTTGACGTCTCCAACAAGGTATTAACAATGAATTTCGTTTCTGTGTTAAGTTGTGTTTTACTATATTTTCCTCACATTGCTTGGCACCAACGAAGTGTATTTCCCTCCTGATTTCCTACCACACGTGAGGCATTGTCCTCCTAGTAAACATTCGATAAAAAAGATTTAATATTACCCCTTTTTGCACTTTACTCCCACAACATTTCAGTTTTTTTATGAGTTCAAAATTCCAAACAATTAAGTATCATTCGAATCGGTTTCATAAAAAGAAATATTACAATATATACACGGTAACATTATCGAAAACGTAATGCCGTACTGTCAGAAGACTGTTTGAGAACTTTATGATGGGTTCGAATACCGGAAGACACCCATATTCATTCCTACGGTTGACTGTATTTTGGTGATCTCTCGGTGTAATATGTGCAAGTCTGTCGAAGTAATCTGATGGAATATCGATTTATAATGAGATAGTGTCAAAGGTTATGATGTAGAGGTGTAATGAAAAAAATTTGTCTGTATATTATGAATTTCCGTGGGAGTAAAAGTGCAAAAATGGTTATGACATCTTTATATCAAATGTTTACTGGTATTACATCTTTTTACCGAATGAAAGAGGAGAGGGAGGGGAGAAGGAAGAGGAGAAGGGGGAGGAGGAAGAGGAGAGGGAGGAGAGGGAGGAGGGAGGAGGATGGGAGAGGAGAATGTCATTGGTTGTGTTGGGCCTGCTGCACAGCCCTGAAATCAAATCAAGTTTACTAGCGATAGCACATGACGAGCTCTTGACTCGGACATCACGATTCGATTAGTGGTATATTAACCAGTCTATAGGGGACGATTGAGACAGTGTTGTGCTGTTCATCGTGTCTCAAGCCCCCAAACCCACATTTTAGTCAGTATCCCCTAAACCATGGGTTGGTTAAGACCACTCTCCCCTTCTTGAAGGGAACGGGACGCTACACAGAATCCGTTACCACGACCCCGTCCTGTTGACTGTTAGTGACACGAGACTAAGTGTGCCAACCCAAAGTTGTTATCCCCGAGGAAAGAAGATCATGTGTCGCAACAAGAGCGATCCAGACTGGCAGTGAATGTATCACTTGAGGTATTAAGGCTCTGTTAAGTTATACCCATAGTAGAGTAATCACATGTGGCGGCCCCAGGTGAAAAGTCCCTCTTTACAAGATTAATTTTATTACGGCGTGAATGCGAGTGACTTATATATCCCTGCAAATTGTAAATCATTGTATGGAAGCTGGCCAAATATATGTAAGTACAATTATCTGCCCGTATCTGTGATCCTATCTTATTATTACTAAAGGTAATGACTGATTGGTTATGACAAAGTATAACCAATAACTGAGATAGATGTTGGAAATTAATGGAATTCATTAAATCATCATTTATCAAGTATAAATCATGGAATGTCGAGTAGTGGAGTGAACTTCTACGTAGATACACCATAATCTCCTGTAAGTAACCAGTGTGAAGGTATCGAACTGTATGACAAGAAATAAGAAACACATAATAATATAATATCATGTTATATACCATCTAGACATTTAAAACAGTGACGGAGGGAGGAGAGAAGGGGGAGAGAGAGGAGGGAGAGAGAGGAGGGAGAGAAAGGGGGAGAGGAGGAGGGAGGGGGAGAGAGTAGGGTGAGGGGAGAGGAGGAGGGTGGGGTGAGGAGAGGAGGAGGAGGTGGGGTGAGGGGGAGAGGAGGAGGAGAGTGGGGAACGGGGAGAGGAGAGGAGGGGAGGTGGGGTGAGGAGAGAGAGGAGGGAGAGTGGGGTGAGGGGGAGAGAGTGGGGTGAGGGGAGAGGAGGAGGGAGGGGGAGAGAGTGGGGTGAGGGGAGAGAAGGTTGAGGCTTCAGGTAAACAAATACATTGTCACATCTCCATTTTGACGTAGTAATAATACACATACTGACAGATGTTTGAGTGATGATGACTGTGATGTGTTGCAGATCTCCGAGTTGAAACACATCAGATCCCTGGCCTCTGAGATCTCCAGCAGGGGCGCCACCCTCTATGACCTTCTGCGAAGAGAGGTTGACCTCAGGGTAAGTTCTACCTCTCAAGGTCAGCTCAGGTTATAACGCAATGAATACGTTCGTTAATCATGTATATCTCCGTTAAATTAATGTATAATTCCGCTAAAGTCATGTACATGTTCGTTAATGGTTTTATACGAAGGGCGTTCACAAATCTAGATGATGATGATAATAATAATAATAATGTAGGTATACAGTGCAGGAGGGAGTATACTGTGTACCGAGACAGTGTAGGAGGGAGTATACTGTGTACCGAGACAGTGCAGGAGGGAGTATACTGTGTACCGAGACAGTGTAGGTAAACAACAATGGTAACTTGACCAAGGATAACCAACAAAGCTGTCAGCTGCTTATATCCAGGAGGTCCTTTGTTTAGGCTTACTCTTGGTCTCTAATCAGTAATAGTATGTCTACAGAAGTGCTGTATTGTGAAAGTTTATTTGATGCAATTCAACAAGTACTGCATTGTTCTTGGACTATCCGAGGCTGGTGGATCACTACCACAATACAACATTTTCTGGTTTAATAATATTGAAACTCACTCTCTTCTCTTGCTGTCGTTTCATCTGTTATGTATTTCTTTGTTTTAGCTTTGAATTGCTTAATACCGTGACTGGTTTTGATGTTTTGTGGTAAGTTGTTCCAGGCCCCATAATATAGTGTTTACTCCCTCTAGTGCCCTGCCGGGTCATATCCCTAGTCCTTACACAGTTTGTTGCCAGGTACTCTGGCCACAGTCCAGTGAAAATCCTGTAAGCGTGATTCAGCTTCGGTTGGTTCAATCTATCAGTCACACTTAACATGTTCAGTGATTGATGAACTTGGTGACCAACGTGATCTCGTGAGTTCATATCAAGATGAACATCACCGCCTTGTTTTGAACAATTTGGAGCTTGGATTTTAGCTTCTGTGTTGAGGCAGAGTACCGTGACGAGCAGGAAGAAGCCAGCCCCAATGACATCGACGACGCGGTCGAACACTGGTATACGGATGTGAAGACGGAGATGGACAACAACATCCCGACCACCACTCACAGTACCATTACCCATCCTCACACTAGTCACCAGCTGAGGCAGCTCAGTGTCCAGTACGATCACGTGAGACAGCTAGCCAGTATCCGTGGGTGGACGCAGGAGCTGAGAGACCGGTACCGAGAGCTACAGACGGACATCCAGCACGAGAGCAAACGTCTACATGAACAAAAGTGGGCCGCCTTGGTGTGGGAGGCAGCCAACAATTACAGCGATTCTGCTGCATTCTGGAAAGGGATCAAGCGACTGAGGGGTTCCACCTCTAGCACGGTCCCTTACCTGCTCGACCAAAACAACGTGAAAATATTCGAGGAAGAAAACCAAGAACAATTACATCGGCGATATTTACGAAAGATCTTTACCATTAGTGAACAGGAGAACGAGGGCTTCGACAGGGAGTTTGAGGAGGACATTTTAGGTCAGTTGCAGGACCATCAGCACCTGCTCCAGCCGCTCCCACGGACTGACTTCACTAGACTGGTGGACGGAAGCTACCTGACGGAGCGCATAGTTCCTGCAGATGTGTCAGCCGTCATAAAAGGGTTTAAAAACAAATCACCTGGTCAAAGCCATATTAGCAAGAAGATCCAGGTCCAACTCCCCGACAACATGATAGAGAGGCTTGCTCATATATGCAACACCTGCCTCGCCTCTGGATACTTCCCTAAGATGTTCAAAATCGCCGTTATTCGCCTCATACCAAAAGCAGGGAAGCCTCCAAACAAAGTCGAAAACTTTCGACCAATATCGCTGCTAGAGGTACCTGCCCAAATCCTCGAAAAAATAGTCAACAAGCGGTTGCGGATGTATCTGGAGGACGAAGACGTGCATAATCCCCGCCAGTTCGGCTTCCGCCAGTACCGAGGCACATCCACCGCCATAGCTCAGGCCTACGAGAGCAGATCGGGCCAATGCCATAACTGGCCGCCTGCAGTGCAATATAGTACTGAGGGACGTCAGCAAAGGCGTTTGACAAAGTTTGGCACGCGAGGCTGCAGTATAAGATCACACAGCTGGGGCTACCTGAAAATCTGCTGACGCGCCTGCTGTGCAACTTCATTATGTGGACCAGAGCCAAAAATCAAGATGCAAGAACATTTTGGAGAAGAATTCTCACCTGAGCGGCGTACCTCAGGGTTCTTGGTCTCTCACCAACCCTTATGCACTCTACACGGCTGACCTGCCACCCCAATCGTCGGCAGCGAGTACGTCATGTATGCCGTGACGATGCAACACAGATCGTCACCTGCCCAGGAAGGTCCACGGCAAGGATGGCGCGACCTACCGCTCGGGCAATAGAGGAGATCTGGAGTATGAATATAAATGAAAACAAAAAAAAACGATATTTGAGGTCATACCCATAGCCAAAATCCGCCGGCGCCATTGATGATCGACGATGAAGAGATTGAGTACTCTTAAACAAGGCAGGTTGTCGGCTTCTCCTCATCCCCGGACGGGCATCATTCCCCACGTGAAGGACAATAGACTAAATAAAGCCAAAGTCGCTGCAGTCAAATTAAAACGTTTTAAACTGATGCCTGAGAAGATATTGTTCACCTGTACAAGGCGCTGGTGAGGGGCCTTGTGTTGGAGTGCCCCATCTATACCACTCACACTCGGGAAGACGAATTACAACAACCAGAGAGCTTCCAAAACAAGTGTTTAGATCAGCCAGTGGCCAAGCGCCACCCTACCAGGAGACAGTGGAAACCATCCACCCAAGAAATAAAACAAAAAAAGCCCCTCAACTTCAGGTTCCATCGCCTAGGGAAGAAGGTTTGGGACAAGCTCCTGGACGACCTCATAGCCCAAACCACCTACACGCGGGAAGACATCTGAGGGAGACCCACGCCTGGTGGACCCGAGTCTGCCCACTACAACAACTCCAACCCGCGACCCATCTATGTCCGGCCACAGTGATCCACCTTAGATTAAAAAACTTGATGACATAACCACATTAAACAAGTCACACCCAGTGAGTCCATAACGTAATAATAAACTTGTACCTGTAAAATCAATCTTAGTCATTGTCTACTAAAATAACCATTGTGCAACCTCATCCTAAATCCTAGGTTAGCTTAGTTAGCCAACAAACTCTGCAATATGTAAAACAAGGGTGTCGTCCCCTGTTTAACTCATTAAACTTTTTCCGAACCTTCCCCAATGACTATAAGCCACGACTATATGTTGTGACTCTCCATCCCTGTCTGGCTGTGCCTTGAGCCCCAGCAGGCCTTCCATCCTTTCCCACCTTAACAAAAAAAAAAAAAAAGTGACGAGCAGGAATAGTCCGAGTGACTAGACATAATCCTGACAGCTCTGTCCTTGTTCAACTTTAATACAGTACTGTACAACCCATGTTGTACTGCTCCCCATTATATTTACGTTTTCCATTTCCACTGTAATTTATTATAAAAAATAATAATAAATATTGAAGTGATAACCGTGGGAACATTATGAGATGTTCTTATTACTACCATGCTATTGTACTATTCCAGATGATACTAAATGTTACATAATACTCTTGAGATAAATGTATAGTATATATCAGGTGCCTACAAGAGAGCTCAGGCTGTCAACTGGCTCAGCCATGTTAATATTGTTATTATTATCCACTCTGTATCTGTGTTTTCTGGATAAATAAACTGTTTCAATTCAATTCAAAGTTAGGTTAACATTCTTGAAGTTAATGTAACAACGTGGGAGCGGGGAGTTAATACTATTACAGTTATACCCCCAAAATACTTATTCATATTATCTAAAATATAAGTTATAATTATTGTATCGCCCTCGGCTACAGGAGATCCGCACCAACATTATCAACAGGCAGCTGGAACTGACGGAGGTAGAGGAAGGAATGCAGTCAGCCATCAGCGCCTGTGAGAGGGAGGGCAAACCGAACCAAACCGCCATAGAAAACGTAGGTTCTGACCAATCCAACCTGGAGGCCAAGATTGACAAGAAGAAAACGGGTCTTGAGCGGGGACAAAAGAGACTCCTTACCTTGAAGAAAGTCAGGTAAGGTCAGGTCAGGTTAGGTCAAGTTAGGTCAGGTCAGGTTAGGTCAGGTTAGGTCAGGTTAGGTTAGCCCATAATTACACCTGATGATTAAAGTCACACCTTAATATTGCCTGGGAGGTCAGGTTAGGTTAGGTTAGGTTAGGTTAGGTAAGGGTAGCATTAGGTTAGGTTAAGGTAGCATTAGGTTAGGTTAGGTTAGGATTGGGTGTGTCTAATCTTACGGTAATGTGACAGGTATAACTAGAGACAGTCGGTACCCCACACAAGGTGGCGTCAACAATAGTCTTGAGAAAACACAAACATTACACTTTCTTATTAATTAAAAGATCACATTTACCTGATGTTACCTGGATCACGTCAACCTAACCTAACCTAACCTAACCTAACCTAACCTAACATGAGGTAGATGATGCAACGGGTAGTGGGGTAGATGATGGAGACGTGTAGTGGGGTAACATGCTATTCTTGTTCTGTTTTTGGTTAAAATTTCCGGGAACATTTTGATCACCGTGGGCAGGAAGCTACGACCCTGGTAGGCATGGTGGTGGCTGGGGTTAGGTTATGGTTAGCTTGGGTTGTTGGGTGGGGGTGGGTGGGTGTGGATGTGGGGGTTAGTGTGGGTGGGGGGTGGATGGGGTTGTGGGGTAGATGTGGGGTGGGTAAGGGGTGGGGTGGGGTGGGTGGGAGTAAGGGTGGGGGGGTGGGTGGGGTAAGGTGGGGGTGGGGGTGGGGGTAAGGGTGGGGAGGGGTGGGGGGGGGGGTGGGGTGGGTGTGGGGTGTGGGGTGGGGTGGGGGTGGGTGGGTGGGGTATGGGTGGGGGGTGGGTGTGGGGGTAAGGGTGGGGTGGGTAAGGGATGAGCAGTATTCCAACATGTTAACAATCAATCCTTATAAACTTGAAGCCAACTGCTCAGGAGTGAAGTAGCTGGCATCTGTACAGCATTCCCAGCTTTCAGAAGGCAGCTTTAGCAATGTTGTGGATGTGTGGCTTCCATGACATATTAGAGGAAATGGTGAGGCCTAGCATATCTATTTTAGAATTCGGCAGAATGATTGCGTCCTGAAATGTGATTGGTGGGAGATCATCTAATTTGGAAAGTGTAATTGGTAAATACTGAGTTTTATTACTATTGAATTCAACCAAGTTTCTACCTCCCAATTCAGCGATGCTGCACAGATCCGCATTGATAGATGAAATGATATCAGCTCTAGAAACAGATATCGTTTGAGAGTTAGGGAAGGGAAAATGTGGAGAAAAAGTAGAATCATCAGCGTAAGAATGGATAGAATTTGTTGTAGTGTGAAGTAAATCATTAATGAAAAGAAGGAAGAGAGTGGGTGAAAGAACAGAACCCTGTTGGACACCACTACTGGTAGAGAAAGAGCGAGAGATCGATCCCTCGACAACAACTGCCACTGTTCCTAGTACCAGACGTGTCCCTCATCGTATCATGTCTCTCACTGTTCCTAGTACCAGACGTGTCCCTCATCGTATCATGTCTCTCACTGTTCCTAGTACCAGACGTGTCCCTCATCGTATCATGTCTCTCACTGTTCCTAGTACCAGACGTCCATCATCATGTCTCTCACTGTTCCTAGTACCAGACGTGTCCTCATCGTATCATGTCTCTCACTGTTCCTAGTACCAGACGTCCATCATCGCATGTCTCTCACTGTTCCTAGTACCAGACGTGTCCCTCATCGTATCATGTCTCTCAATGCCCTAGTACCAGACGTGTCCCTCATCGTATCATGTCTCTCACTGTTCCTAGTACCAGACGTGTCCATCATCGTATCATGTCTCTCACTGTCCTAGTACCAGACGCCCTCATCGTATCATGTCCTCACTGTTCCTAGTACCAGACGTGTCCATCATCGTATCATGTCTCATCGTTCCTAGTACCAGACGTGTCCTCATCGTATCACTCTCACTGTTCCTAGTACCAGACGTCCTCATCGTATCATGTCTCTCACTGTTCCTAGCAGTCCTCATCGTATCATGTCTTCACTGTTCCTAGTACCAGACGTCCATCATCGTATCATGTCTCTCAATGCCTAGTAACGTGTCCCTCATCGTATCATGTCTCTCACTGTCTTAGTACCAGACGTGTCCCTCATCGTATCATGTCTCTCACGTTCCTAGTACCAGACGTGTCCATCATCGTATCATGTCTCTCAATGCTCCTAGTACCAGACGTGTCCCTCATCGTATCATGTCTCTCACTGTTCCTAGTACCAGACGTCCTCATCGTATCATGTCTCTCACTGTTCCTAGTACCAGACGTGTCCATCATCGTATCATGTCTCAATGCTCCTAGTACCAGACGTGTCCCTCATCGTATCATGTCTCTCACTGTTCCTAGTACCAGACGTGTCCCCATCGTATCATGTCTCTCACTGTTCCTAGTACCAGACGTGTCCCTCATTGTATCATTGTCTCTACTGTTCCTAGTACCAGACGTGTCCCCATTGTATCACGTCTCTCACTGTTCCTAGTACCAGACGTGTCCATCATCGTATCATGTCTCTCACTGCTCCTAGTACCAGACGTGTCCCTCATCGTATCATGTCTCTCACTGTTCCTAGTACCAGACGTGTCCCTCATCGTATCATGTAGGACTTGTTTCTAACGTGTATCGCAATGCTCATACATGTCCACGTCTCAGCCTCTTAACGTGTTCACGACTGGTATCTGACATGTTTATGGTGTGCTCCTGAACAGGCCGGCCTTCATGGACGAGTATGAGAAGTTAGAGCAGGACCTCAAGCGTCAGTACGAGTCCTTTGTGCAGAAGTTCATCAGCCTATCTTACCTCGAGAACCTGCTTGATGACTACGACCGCATCGAGCAAGAGAAGATGGCGGAGAGGGAGGTGAGTGGTGAGGGTTGTGAGTGGTAAGGGAGGTGAGTGGTGAGGGTGGTGAGTGGTGAAGGAGGTGAGTGGTGAGGGTGATGAGTGGTGAGGGAGTGTGAGGGAGGTGTGAGTTGAGGGAGGAGTGGGTGGTGGTGGTGAGTGGTAGGTGGAGGGTGAGAGGTGGTGAGTGGTGAGGTGGTGGAGGATGAGGTGGTGGGAGGGATGAGGTGGTGAGGGTGAGGGGTGGGAGGTGAGGGAGGTGGGTGGTGAGGTGCTGGAGTGGTGAGGGTGGTGAGGTTGAGGGTGATGAGGGTGAGTGGTGAATGGAGAGGGTGGTGAGTGGTGGGGGTGGGAGGTGAGGGTGGTGAGTGGTGAGGGTGGTGAGTGGTGAGGGTGGGGAGTGGTGAGGGAGGTGAGTGGTGAGGGGTGCTGAGGTGAGGGAGGTGAGTGGGTGAGGGTGATGAGGGTGGGAGGGTGGTGAGTGATGAGGGTGGTGAGGGTGAGGTGGTGAATGGAGAGGGTGGGTGAGTGGTGAGGGAGGGTGGTGAGGGGTGATGAGTGGTGGGGAGGTGAGTGGTGAGGGTGATGAGTGGTGAGGGAGGTGAGTGGTGAGGGTGCTGAGTGGTGAGGGAGGTGAATGGGAGGGTGATGAGTGGAGGGAGGTGGTGGTGAGGGGTGATGAGTGGTGAGGGAGGTGAGGGTGAGGGTGGAGGGGAGGGGGGGTGAATGGGTGAGGGTGCTGAGTGGTGAGGGAGGTGAATGGTGAGGGGGATGAGGGTGAGGGAGGGGGGTGAGGGTGCTGAGTGGTGAGGGAGGTGAGTGGTGAGGGGTGCTGAGTGGTGAGGGAGGTGAATGGTGAGGGGTGATGAGGGGTGAGGGAGGAGGGTGAGGGTGATGAGTGGGTGAGGGTGGTGGAGGGTGGGAGGGTGGTGGAGGGTGAGGGTGGGGAGGGTGAGGGTGGGGAGTGGTGAGGGTGGTGAATGGAGGGTGGTGAGTGGTGGTGGGGAGGGGAGGGAGGTGGGTGGTGAGGGTGCTGGAGGGTGAGGGGAGGTGAGTGGTGAGGGTGCTGAGGTGAGGGAGGAGTGGTGAGGGTGGGGAGGTGGAGGGTGGGTGAGGGGAGGGAGGTGAGTGGTGAGGGAGGTGAGTGGTGAGGGTGATGAGTGGTGAGGGTGGTGAATGGTGCAGGTGGTGAATGGTGCGGGTGGTGAATGGTGCGGGTGGTGAGTGGTGAGGGTGATGAATGGTGAGGGTGATGAATGGTGCAGGTGGTGAGTGGTGAGGGTGGTGAATGGTGCAGGTGGTGAGTGGTGAGGGTGGTGAGTGGTGAGTGTAACAACTAAGCACTCGTATGGAAGAGACTATTTAGTGTGGTAGGAATGTAAAGAGAGGAAGTTGGTAGCGTGGCCGGGTTAGTTATTTACACTTATATTACGTTCTTGATGGACATCTTGTAAACACCGCTTCAATACAACTATTTATTAATTACGACAATGGCATGAACACATTAATAACACCTTCTATCAAAGTTACGTGAACATTATATTTACGTTACTAGACACTGACTCTCGGACACAAACATGAAATGAATACACTTCCCACAGTAAGTAACTCACCCTGTGGATAACTCTGACAAAGACTCACGTGTGACCTGTGGGAGGCCCAGCAGGTGCTTCTGGACTGTCTCCTATGGGAGACTCTGCTAGCTGGAGATGCGGTGCTGGGGAGGGTAGTGTCCCTCCCCACCTCGACAGTTCACGAGCGTGACTCCGTCTTCCGTAGATAGTGTTGTGAAAGTTGTCTGAATATGAATTGGGAATGACTGACGCAGCTAGAATGCCCCGTGGACGGGACTGCAGGGCAGAACCAGCCGGCAGATGACCGCTCCCAATTAACACTAAACTGGTTAGATCTGGACAGCTGTGTTTGCCCATTTGTGCGGTCATGTCGCAGGTCGGTAATGCTTCCTAATTATAACCGCCCAGGTGTTTCTTGGCAAAGTGTGGTTTCTTTAACACGGTCATATCGCAGGGTTAACTCAAGCAATTAGTGGACGAGGTCAGGTCCCTTGGGTCGTGACCCAGGGTGTGTCAACTTGGTAAGCGGGGGTACACCGTGGGCCCATACGGCAGGGTTAGCTCCAGAGGGATAATTATCAGATATGGCCAGTGATATGTGCGGTCTTGGGTATGAGAGTTTGTTGACCAAACTGGAGTGGTCCACTGAAGAATTGGCGAGGGCCAAGTTAGAAATTGAGAGGGCCACGTTGGAGAACGTGAAATTAAGGAAAGAGCTGGCGAAGTTAAAAGGAGAGGCTGGACGAGTAAAGCCAGTGTCTGACGAAAAATCAAACGAGTGGAAAGTCGTGAGTAGTGGGAGGACCAAGCTGGTGGTAAAGAAGCACTCGAAGGATACGACAACAACGACAACAACAGCTAAGTGTACCAACCCGTTCAGTCCCTTGATAGACGAATTGGACGTTAGTACAGTCAGGGGCAGGGATGACAAGGAAGGTATAAAAACTTTAATTGTTGGTGACTCACAGGTAAGGTACATGGACAGGGCTTTTTGTGGTAAAAACAAAAATAGGATGAGGGTGTGTTTGCCAGGAGCTGGGGTGGGGGATATAGTTGACAGGATGGACAATATCTTGTCTGGTAATGGGAACAAACCCATTATCTGCCTCAGTGCAGGAGGCAATGATATTGGCCGGTGTAGGAGCGAGGAACTTCTTGATAAGTTCAAGGCAGCCATAGATCGTATTAGGACAAAGGGAGGGATCCCTATCATATGCGGTGTCCTGCCTAGAAGGAGAGTTGGCAGTGAATGGTTGTCAAGGGCAGTTGGTGTTAACGACCGTCTTGACAGATATTGCAAGTCAATATCAGTCCCATTCATTGACAACTGGGACAACTTCTATGGCAGAAGGGACCTTTATGCTAGGGATGGGGTGCACCTGTCTAGGGATGGAGTAGCAACCCTGGCTGGGGCTCTAGAGGGGGCAGTTCAAAAGATATCGAAGTCTTTAAACTGCTAAGAGAACATAGGGGCACGGGGGTGGAGGAGACTGCAGTGGGAGCGGGTAAACAAGGCGAAAGATTACAGGGAAATAGTGTTAGGAATGATGACAAAACTAAATTAGACAGGGAGTTTAAAACTAAACGCGGTAAGGGAAGGACTCAGAACACCACTAACTTAAATGTATACTACGCGAACAGTAGAAGTATGAGAAACAAAATGGATGATATTAAGGCCTTGGTATGTACCGAAGAAATCGATATAATTGCATTCACTGAAACATGGATCAACCTAGACACACGTGAATTACCAGTCGAATACCAAATTGCGGGTTACAAACTGTTCCATACCGATAGGCAGACCAGGAAAGGAGGCGGAGTAGCAATCTATGTTAGGGATAATCTGAAGTGTGAAATAAATAAGGAAATAAAAACTGAGAGGAATACAGAAACAATTTGGATAGAATTAAGCGACGGTCGGGAAAAATTAATCACAGGGGTAATATATAGACCCCCCAATCTTGATAGCGTCAATGAGCGACTTATCTGGGATGAAATGCGCAGGGCTTCCATACACAACAAAGTCTGTATAGTAGGCGACTTTAACCTTGGCCAAATAGATTGGACTGTCCTTACGGGTAACTCAGAATCAGAGGATTTTCTCGAGACGATCCAGGACTGTTTCCTAAGTCAACATATAACCGAACCCACACGGGGTAATAATATACTGGATTTAGTTCTGACGAACAGAGAAAACCTCATTAGCAATGTCGAGGTAGGGAACGAACTTGCAAACAGCGATCACAAAGAAATTCGATTCCAGTTAGATTTTCAGGGCAGACGTAAGGAAAATTCCACTAAAGTACCAGATTTCAGAAGGGCAAACTTTGACAGTTTAAAGAGGCAGCTGAGAGAGGGGGTGTCGCGCTTGGCCGTGAACCTGACAGATGACACCGACCTGATAACGAGATCTGAGATTGCCGAGTTCCACGACAATTTAAATAGTGAGTTACTTAATGCACAAAGGCATAACATACCATACAAAAAACTCAGATCAGACAACAATGACCCTAAATGGATAAATAATTATTTAAAGAACATCATTGGCCAAAAGAAGGCTATAGGTAGAAGGATAAATCGTGGCGAAATTCACCTCCGGGACTATTATAGGGTATTGGCGAGTAGAGTTAAAACCGAGATAAGGAAAGCAAAGAGGAATAATGAGGTAAGGGTAGCAAGGGAGGCGAAGACAAACCCCAAAGGATTCTACCAAATGTATCAAACTAAAACACGAGAAAAGATTGGACCAATACGGTCAGACTCCGGCGAGCTCACTGATAACGACGGAGAAATGAGCAATAATTTAAATAAATATTTTTCAACAGTTTTCACCACCGAAAATTTAAACATGATACCTGAGGCACCGACTCTATTCAGAGATAGTGAAGAAAACAAATTAAGTGAGATAGTAGTGACTAGTAACGATGTTAGTAAGCAAATAGACAAACTAAAGCCTAATAAGTCACCTGGTCCCGATGAGATATTTGCCAGAGTATTAAAGGAATGTAAGGAAGAGCTTAGTATGCCCTTAGCAAAGTTGTTTAACATGTCCTTAAAAACAGGTGTAGTACCAGAATCCTGGAGGATAGCGAATGTAATACCGATTTTCAAGAAGGGGGATAGATCACTATCCTCTAACTACCGTCCAATCAGTCTAACATCAATAGTAGGCAAATTACTGGAAGCAATCATTTCAAACTCTATTCGAAATCACCTGGAGAAGCACCGATTGATCAATGATTCCCAGCATGGCTTCACAAGCGGACGTTCTTGCCTAACTAATCTATTAACATTCTTTTCATCAGTTTTCGAATCAGTGGACGAGGGGCACAATTATGATGTGGTATATCTCGACTTTAGCAAAGCCTTCGACAGAGTCCCCCACGAAAGACTAATTAGAAAGGTAGAAGCTCATGGCATCAAAGGTGACATCCTTAAATGGAT